TACAGTAGTTTTTTTCACATATGAACGAACACAATAAACCGTCTACTTTTTTTCCCCTGAAAACCACGATTTGTTTAGTGGGTGATCATGCCCCTGTAAAAAGCTTAGAAGAAGCTTAGAAGAAGGGTTGCTCCAAAATCTAGAAAACACGAACCTGCTTCAAATCTGACAAAGGAATGCACATTCTCGGTCGGGGAGCCAGAAAACTTGCTGAAGCTCAACCTTCAATTCACCATAAGAGATCAAGAACCGCGTAACCTGAACGGAGTTTGTGTATACACTCCAAAGGGGCCATTCTGCAGAATAGCCTTCTGTCACGCCTCTTGAACCGCCTCGATTCGATGCTTTCTCAAAGACTAAGCCTTCATAATGCAGTTTTTTAAATCATGCCAATGCCACAGTTACATTAAAGCTCGCGCACGTGTATATCCAGAAGACGGCGTGGTTCGCTTTTTTTTTTTTGTGATTCGTGCGCCTTTTTGTAACGCTTGTCGGCTCTTAGCCACATGACTACTCATCAGGCTTTCGCCATACGCCATATCTTGCCGTATTCTTAAGGCTATCGCCTTAAAAAGGTATGGCAATAGTTTCTACACATCCTTTCACAATATATATATATATATATATATATATATATAGAGAGAGAGAGAGAGAGAGAGGCACACTCTTTATTAGGAAAAAAACAGATTTTTGCCGGCGTATATATATCGCTGGCATGCTACTCTGTATAGGGATGGGGCAGTGAATAGTTCAACGCTTTCGCTTACGTCAATGACATGTCTGCATGCTCTTTGAAGTTTGATGAGCGGTAAATTCATTGATAACACGTTGAGGATACTTTAACGTGGGATGCAGCCCAAGAAAGATGTGCGTCGTCACTGCAAGCGGTTGTTGCTTCTTTATTCAATATTTCTTCTTAATGAGTGCGGCCTTTTCTAAAGTTTTTGCTTGATCGGTGAGCACACAATATTGATGAGACACTCACCTGTAATTATCGTGAGAATCGTCAAGCCGACAGTTCCCAATTCACCTAAAATCGCTTCACAGCTCTCTGCATAAATTATACTGTGTCGTTACTGGAATTATCTGGTGGGCTTAAGAAAAGATTGAACGCCCACTTGCTGCCGTAGTAAGAGTATGCGCTATAGGATGAGGTCTACGCCGGTGCGCTCTTGGCGATACGTTATTAGGTTAACATTACGAAACGCCCTTAGGATCTTTCGAGAGTACACCCTCTTGCACTTTTCAGTAAGGGCTACATAATAAAAATACCAGGATGTATCTTTTTATCTTATTTAAAAGGCGAGATAGATGCGCAGCACACTCACAGCGAAAGCTGGAAGAGTGGTGTTTCTGAGCCTTTTTTTCAAACATTCTTTGGGTAACTGCTACAAGCACACTTGCTGGGCACCCACTATGTCACGTATAATTATAAATTTTGTGTAGTATAGGCCGCCATTCACTATGCTATCCTTCGTATTTCTTCAGCGAAGCGTAGTATCCCCTACACACTTGCAAAGAATTTGGCGCAAGTTTTTTTTTTATGCAAGGGCTCACGACGATGCAGAATTATGCCTGAAGTGGGCATGCGCAACAGGTAACAAGTGATCAAGAATAAGTATTTGTAATGGGTTGATTGACTGATATGTAGGGTTTAACGTTCGAAAACCACCATGCGATTATGAGAGGCGCCGTGGGCCCGTGACCTGCGGGTCAGCCGCCGAGTATACCTTAGCCAGTAGACCACCGCGGCGGGGCTTTTGAAATGTGTCGGAGCAGTGGATGATACACTCGTTATGCCTCGCCGCGGTGATCTTGTGGCTAAGGCACTCGGCTGCTGACCCGCAGGTCGCGGGATCGAATCCCGGCTCCGGCGGCTGCATTTCCTACGGAGGCGGAAATGTTGTAGGCCCGTGTGCTCAGATTTGGGTGCACGTTAAAGAACCCCAGGTGGTCGAAATTTCTGGAGCCCTCCACTACGGCGTCTCTCATAATCATATCGTGGTTTTGGGACGTTAAACCCCACAAATCAATCAATATTGACACACTCGTTACGCGATTCGCAATGAGCGACGCCTGGTTATTCTTTTTTCAGTTCTAAGACGCTTTATTACTCCTATTATTGCCATTCATTTCCCGACATCAAGCCTGCGTAAGGCATGTTTGCAACAGAGTTTCAAGCACCGGCACGGCTCTGCAGTATAATGCTGGCCTGGCACGTAGGGGACCCGGGTTCGAATCCCGCTGTGTCCTTGGTGTTTCTATTTAGTTACGGACACCAGCAGCGGACAACTACGGCGCCGCACGCAACCCTCGTTGTGATCTTATTAGAGATTTCGTTGTAAAGGGGCATTCTTACTCGACAACTCTTTCATATCTATCACAGCCTAAAAATGCCCGTATACAGGGAGTAACAGTACAAGGTGGCACCCGTCCAGTCTAGTTTTCTGCGTCCGTGTTTACATCGAAAGCTGTTATGCGGCCGCAACAAGAATAGCGTTTGCCGTAATTTTCCGCCAACGCTGCGCCGCCAGTGTCCGTAACCCCAATCACGTAAAAAAAAGAAACTAAGGAAATAAAAAAAAAACACCAAGGACCCAATGTGATTCTAACCCGGATACCCTGTGCTCTATCCCAGTATTCTACCACAAAGCCACGCCGGTGCTTGAAACACCGCTGCAAACTTGCCTTAGGCAGGCTTGATGTCGGGATAGAAATCGCGCTTATGTGAGTTATAAAACGTTTTAGCACAGCAAAAGACCAACCAAGTGTCACGCGATGCCAACTGCATAACGAGTGGGTCGTCGAATGCTCCAACCTTGGTGGAGGCGAAAATGCTGTAGGCCCATGTGCTCAGATTTGGGCCCACGTTAAAGAAGCCTAGGTGGTAAAAATTTCGGGGGCCTTCCACTACGGCGTCTCTCATATACATATGGTGGTTTTGGGATGGTAAACCCCACATATAATTGCTTCAAGCCAATACAAAAGCTTCACGCATATTCCTTGATTGTGATCAGCCACAGCATAAAAAAAATTGCACGAAATTCCTTGCGAGTGTGGAGCAGGTGCCACGCTTCTCGGAAGATTGGCGAAGGAGCATATAGTGAATGCCTTCCTACTGCACAAAAATGACTTTTCTTGGTGTACTGGGTACCCTGCAGGTGTGCTTGTAGAAGTTGCCCAAAAAGTGTTTGAAAGGGCTTTGAAAGGGAGCTCTCCCAACACATTTGCACAACGCAAGGCTACGAGTAGTTATGGCGTAACTACGAAAGAAGAGGCAAGGACAGAAAAGCTTTAGCTGGCAGGGTGATGCCCAGCTTTAGCTGCACGGTGATACGCGTTCCGTGCAAGCCTGGCGGTTTTTTTTTTTCACGCAGCCGTGCAATATGTGCCCGTACAGAAATTGCTAAAACATACCCACACTCCACACAGTGGTTCCAACTTCATGAAAAAAAAAGGCACACAAGTATGGAGGCAAAAACAGTAGTTTTGTCGGTAACTGTCATAGTCGTTAGAACCGAAAAGTGAAGTGTAGTGCGTCACCACCTGAGGCCAAGCGTGGAATGCAATACACTTTATTCAGATAGGTGACACTAATTTGTGTCTCATATGCATCTGGCTGGAACAAAAGCCAAGTTGCGTTCGATGCGTTTCTCTGGGGGACGAATGAAGCACGCATGTTCCTTGCTATTCCATAATATTACGCCAGAGAGCTAAGATAAGAAATTGAGAATCACGTGCACGTGAAACCCGATAGGCTTAGTTTGCTTATATATACGAACAACTTTGTAGAGACTGTGCTATGCTGCTCTATCAGTATGATCACGTTTCTTCGAGGACCTTTCAGGGAATAAATATCATAGTAAGCTGCAGTAATATCCTCGGGGCGCTTGTCTTGCTGCAACAAGCATCAGACATAACCTCAATCTAATAAGAAAGGTGGAATGAAACAAAGGAACGAAATAAAGCAGAAAAAAAGAGACAATGGAAGCAAATGGCGAAGTTATCTCGAACGCCACACGCGGTGCTTTTAGTTTGATTTGCGTCGGTGTTTACACTCCTGCCTTTGTGTGCCATGAATTATATGGCCGTGCACTGAGAAAATTTGTACATGAGACAAATTGAGACAACGCAGCAGCTGCGAGAGTTGGAGACAGCGAGGTGTACATGTCGTCGCACTTGCGTATGCCGTCGCGCATCAACCGAGTCGCCAACACCCTTCGCGTAGCCGATCTCTGTGTGCATTCCTCATAACTTCGCCCGCCTACTTAAGGCTGCATGCACTGTTTTACCGGGAGAGCTGCGACTTATTGCGAACAAAACATCAAGATTTTTGGTCATTTCCTAATTACTAGGACTATATTCCTTCTCACTATGGTAGTCTAAGTAGAACGCTTTCAAGAAACATTCAATGGATTTTGTTGCGGTCTAGTAAGTATGCTCACAGTTGCAATCAGGCCAATCCAGCGCAACGAGGCGATATTTATGCACGTGTTTTTTTTTCGCTGGTTGTTGTAAATGCTTCTAAACTGTGGGGCGACACCTAGGCATCCCATTGTTTTTCGCCCAGGTTGCCTTTGAAGAGGTTTTTAAAAAGTAGTTATAAAATAAATAGAGAAATAAAAGCTGGCGCCTTGAAACTTGGCGAGGCTCGTGGTTGGAAATATTCACTCACGATGTTTTTTTTTTCTCGTTTGCGTTTGGATGCTTGATCTATCCGTCTCCTCCCTCTACACCTTCCTATTGCTTTCTCTCGTAGATTTCTGTCTTACCTCAGCCCTCTCCAGCGCAAGGTAGCCAACCGCACATTTGTAATCCAGCCAACCTTCCTGTCTTTTGCATATCAATCTTTCACTCCCCTTCGCTATAATTGCTATGTAAAAACAAGAGACTTCAATTTTATGCTTGTCACTTTAGCGGCATATTTGCGCTGCATGACTGGCTCATACTGAACGTTGTGCTTTGTAACCGAGCCAACTGGCATGCTCATTTCTTCACAGGGTAGCCAAGAAAAAGAAGACGAGGAAGATGACCCAAGGGCCAGAGTGGACCGCATCTTTGAACAACTGGATAAGGTAAGCCCCAATCATGCTGGTGATCTTTGAAAACGGCCCCATTGCGGCGGTCTAGTGGCTAAGCTACTCGGCTGCTGATCCGCAGGTCGCGGGATTGAATCCTGGCTGCGGCGGCTGCATTTCCGATGGAGGTGGAAATGCTGTAGGCCCATATGCTCTGCTTTGAGCGCACGTTAAAAAAAACCTACGTGATCAAAATTTCGGGAGCCCTCCGCTACAGCGTCTCCCATAATCATATGGTGGTTTGGAGACTTAAACTCCACTTATCAATCATCAATCAATCTTGGAAAATGTATATTCATTTACTTCATCAAGAAAAGCCTTTTCCTCAGAACCACATTGCGTGCAACAGTCTCGTGAGATGCGTGAGGGGTTTTTGAAACGAATACTATATAACAGTGCACGCTATTTTGGTGGGGGGAAGGCACTCTTTTGACGTCACCAACAATCACCCACAGTGCAATACTTTCATGCTATGAAATCGGTGTTTGAATGCTGTCCAGCTCCACGCCATGGAGGGCATTTATGTTTCTGGTAGCGTATTTGAGCGCACAAAGTTAGTTCCATAAATTTGTCAGAAAATAACGCTTTCTGTGTACCCACTGTCTTTGCTTTAGTATGTTCATTGCATAATAAAAGTACTGCCTTATATCTCACCTACATTGTCAAACCGACGCTGTGCAAGTTGGGTGAAGAGTTGATGGAAATGGAATGAAAGAACTGCCAAGATAGGCAACCTTTTTATTGGCCTCCTGAAGCATTAAACGTTATGCCTCCTTTATTGTGGTATCTAAATGAAGAATGTAAAGCTTAGTTATTCCATGCTTTACAAAAATGGGAAAAATGGTCAGTGTAACTATTTCAGCGAACAACTACTATTAGCGCTGGAACTTATTCACATAAAGAGGGGAGCGGGACGTAATGCACGCGACGTCCTATTAAAGTACCTGATTGTGACTCGCTCTCTGGATTTCGTGCCGATTGGTTGTACCCCCACGATCTCCGACGACAGCGCAGCTCTGGCCGACTGGCTCGCCCTATACGCCCTCTCCTGACGCCGACAAGAGCTCTCGCCATTGGTGCCTCGTCGTCGCACTTCTGCGATCGTGTCTATCTTTCCTATCTTCTCCTTACTTATGGATGTCGCTGTCCCTGCGTCACGTTCTCTCCTCCCCCCTCTTTCTATATCTATACCTTTTAGTGCTAACCTTTTAATCCCTCCTTACCCCCATCCCTCGCGAGCTACTGTTGAGGTGTCGCACTGTGATGCAGACAGTTACGGGGCTCACTTTTATCTTCTTTTCTCTGTTAAAAATCACATAAAAAAGCAACTGCGGCAGCGTGATGTTTCGGCGCAGTTAAGATCAATTTGAAGGACTAAAAACAAATTCCAAGATCGGCTTCTTCGGATGTGATAGACCATGTAGTACAATGGTAGTCGTTCCACTCTGGGAACAATATTTACGGTGGTTGCGCAGCGCAAACAGGGCTAAGCGCTGTATATGCACGAACCGTGCGCGGAATGAAGGATATATACTGGTGCACTTAAACTAGAGCTGGGCTGGAACGCGTCTAGTGCACTGCTGAATCATAGCAGGGGCTGCTGTAGGTCGCCGTAATGACAGCGACCTCTTTCATGAATAACTCGGCCGTCGGAGAACACATCACTGCGGCCGCAGTCATGCGCATTTCTAAACGACGTCTACATACACTGCGTACTGCATTGCGACAGGAAGTATCACTCCAGGCCCGTCGAACAGCGTCACCACACCGGAATACGTGCCTCGTCTAAAACCGACGCTTACAATACGCGTTCTGCGAGCTCCACCCAACCTAAATTTTTTGCGCAGTGTTTTCGCGCTTTCGTTTCTGGCTCTTGTAGAGACATGTGGCGTAGCACTGAGCTTCGGTGCAACGGAACGTATGACGTCATATCCTGCCTCTCTTTCTGACCCACTTATTCCGCATGTTTTCCGTTGCGCAAGGTGATGCTTAAAATGACTATTTTGTTTTTTATTCTTTTTATCCTCACGAGCCACGGAAGAAAGGCAAGGGAAGACAATCACGGCGCTGCGGGAGGATCATTTCGTTAGCGCGAGATCATACCCCCCCCCCCTCCCTCCCTCTGCCTCCGCTATCGCTGCACGCAATTAACCGGGCGCAGTGCGACACCACCGACTTGTGCCGGGGCTTTCATTACATTAGGGTATAAACGGCACTCAGACGCAAGGGCGGATACCTAGTGCGCTGGAGCGTGAGTGGCGCTGCGTTTTGTTTATTGCCCTCACTGGCAGCGCATTTACTCGGCCGTGCTCTCGTTCTTCCCTCAGCTCCCTTTTCCACTGAGCCTTTCACCTTCTGTGTAATGTATGCTCCCGGTAGAAACAACGGGGACCCCGGCCGTCGCCAGACAAAAAAGAATATGAATGAACGAGACAAATAAAGGGGAAACGTGCTGTGCTTTCGTCCTTTATGTGCCTTCAGTTCGGCGCCGATCGAAAGAGGGCGGAGTGCGCGGCTAGCGTCCTGTGTGACGTGCACCGCAAATCCGATTACAAATGCGCCCGCGTGCGCATCTCTAACGTCCGCGAAGGACGGTGTGCGAGGGCGAGCGCTGCTTACCAGAAAAAAAGACATTTTTCACTTGCTCAGGTAGGCCGCTGTGCTTTGGTGATCGTGAGGAAAGTAAAGTTTGACTCGGGGGGGGGGGGGGGGGGAACGCTTAAAAGGGCCTACATCTGCTGGTTGTCCTTGCGGCGTTTGGGGTACACAAGTTTCTCAACGGTTGGATAAATCTCTAGATGTAGTGTTCGTACCAGCAAAGCATTTTCTGTGTTGTTCCTTACGAAACTGTTCTCAGAAACAAACAAAAAAAGCAGCCCACGTTGGACAACTTGACTTTACTTTTCTTTGTGCCACAAATTAGCGGTTGCTCATACGCAATGTGTATTGTTTTGTTGCGAAGGACGGATTTGTGCTGTTGTGCCTACAGTGGTGTGCCTTATGAGATCTGTTATGGGGTGTTTGACAATGTCATTTGTTAGGGCCAGCCATTTTGGAGGGTGGATGTGGGTCAGGAGTAACAAAAGCCTACAATAACATTCGGTTTGTGCTCATAGCATTCTTGCCGCCAGTGTTCGCTCGTCATCAGCTGTTACGTCACAAAATACGCAATGAATGTGCGGACTGCGCCGACGGGTGATTATAGGGGTCAAGATAACAAATGTTTCTCTAAATGCGTTAACGAGCGTAAACAAGTTTGTTCTATATGCAGTTGTGCTTGGCTCCGTCACGCTGGTCTAGTGGCTAAGGTACTCGGCTGCTGACCTGCAAGTCACGGGATCGAATCCCGCCTGTGGCAGCTGCATTTCCGCTGGAGGCGGAAATGCTGTAGACCCGTGTCCTCAGATTTCGGTACACGTTAAAGAACCCCAGGTGGTCGCAATATCCGGAGTCCTCCACTACGGCGTCCCTAATAATCATATGGTAGTTTTAGGACGTTAAACCCCACATATCAATCAAATCAATCAGTTTCGCTGGCGTGATCCAATAAAGTATGACGTACAACTTGTGACAGTTTTGCCTATAGGTACCTATTGACCTCTATGGGCACCCTGCAGCCGGTTTGGGTAGCAAACCGGCTGCCTATAGGCTGGTTAACCTCCTTGCCTTTCTTTTTCCTCTATTTTCCTTCCTGCACTAACGGATAGCGTTGCTAAACTCTATAACAAAAGTGGTGCCGAAATCGGCTTCTAAAGGAGCGAAGAAAACGAGACAAGAAAAAAAGAGAAAGAGAAACACACATACTTCATCGCTGGTTGATTTCAAAGCAGCATGCTCACTTGGACGTCTTCAGAAGACGGGCAGAATACTGACCCACGATCAAACATACTTCATGGCGAGCGTTTACTAACTACTCCAATTAGTGCGAATCGAGGCGATCCCGCCGCTTTTGCTCTCTCACCCGGTAGCGGATGTTGACTGTGGCGTCGTGCGCGAAGCTTCTCCGGGCGTTTCGCGCGCGCGCGTCGGGAGGGAGAGAGATCTCTCCGGGGATGGGGTAAACACGCATTTCTGTTTCGTCCGTCGGCTTCCTTTGTTTGGGGCTTGTTCGGACTTCGCCAACGACGCCTTGCGCCCGTGGCGAACGCTTACCCTTTGTCGCCCCCCCCCCCCACCCCTCTTTCGTACACTAGGCCGAAGAGCGGCGCAGTGTCCTAGTGCGTGGCCTGGCTACGCCGACCCGTACCTCTCGGAAGCCAACGCGAGCTCCTTTGCTCTCGCTCGAGCAACCGGGTCTCGTCCCTGTGTCTCCCTGAACCACTTTTACCACGGAGACGTGCTCATGGCACCCCTGTGTAGTACTTGTCGCTGGTGGCGGGGATAAGCCATTTGCTTTCCCACCGCGCCTTTGCAACGAGCTCTGTACTGCGTTTTCGTGTTGCCGCAGGCAATAAAGTGTTGTGACCTTGAGCAGTATCGTGTTCTCGCCACGGCGACAGTTAACGCGCGCCCTGCGGCTCGCTAAAACCAGAACCACGCTAGTGGCCGTACTCATTCGGGATACGTGTACGCTACAAATTAGATCGCTGGACTAAGGGTTCTAGCACGGCTGCTGTATGTGGCAAGCTAGCGTGAAGTGGCAATAGGAACGACAGCTTACGTGAATGGCTGCTGCGTCGTTATTTCGTCATCTCACTTAACCCGCTTACCAGCGTTCTCTACTTCAGCAAGTAATTATAGTCATTGGTTGACATTATCGCGTCTGCATTCTTTTATCTGGGTGAATTTCAGTGAACATGTATAGCATCATCAATTTCGATAGAGTAACGGAAATTAACGACGTACTACCGGTAGGTAGTGATAAGCACACCTGACATTTTCACTATACCGCACTCTATGATTTCCCTGTTTGACTTTGATGGTAAGGCTGCGGTACTATCGCACGCAGAAGCTGACTTTCAGATTACTGTCACGTCTACTGTGGAGTCAATTATTGCCGCTATGCAGTGGCTTATACTTCTGGGTGTTGTCACGCTTGGGTTGCTAGCATCGTTTAACGGCAGCCATGTTTTTTTTTCCGTAGGCGTGTTTTCTTCATTCAACACTATTGCTGTAGGAGTAATACTGAGTGTTTTGTTCACTTAACCGGTTCCTAGTTATCATATGCACTTGGCCAGTATTAGATTTTTTTTTTCACAGTTTGCACATTATCACGACATAGAAAGTGGCTTCATTGCTTAAACTTGTGATGCGGCGGCTGCGTATTTGGTGGAGGCGAAGATGTTGGTGGCCCATGTGCTCAGATTTGGGTGCACGTTAAAGAACCCCAGGTGGTCGAAATTTCCGAAGCCCTCCACTACGGCGTCTTTCATAATCATATGGTGGTTTTGGGACGTTAAACCCCTATATCAAACATCATCACTCTTAAAATTGTGACTCAACATTCTTTTCATGATCAAATCAAATGAAGTATATTTTTTATTCTTTACAGTGCACAGAAAGCAAGCACTGTAAATGAAAAAAAAAGCTTGAATAGTTCACTGCCTCATAAAAAGGCACAAACTATGAAACGAAAAATCGCAGTGGTATCATCACTGCGGTAAAACATGGCTATACGACACTTCAAGGACAATGCGCTATTACAGGGTGCGCACACTGTAGTTGTTATTCTCATACATTAATGTGCAGCAGATTAAAAATGAAATTACTAGACTGTGTACGAAACATATACGGGATAACGTGATTGTCATCCAGAAACAAATGTAGGCACATAATACACAGCATACAAAACATTAGGTAGGTTGCTACATTAAACACAATATAGATTACTGTAATTGAAGTGCAATCAAAAGTGAATACGATTGGAAAAAGGAAATAGATATCTAAGAGTTGTTTTGGCACTTAATGAAAACTATGTTATTGAATTTACTATTGATTTGAAGATCATCTTCGCATCGCTAGAAATGTATTGAGTTTCCTTGTTTTTTTTTTTTTTTAGGCTATCGAGACTTTCGCACCTGGAGCTTTTATACTTACCTCTGCTGATTCTGATGTCAGATCTATTGAAAAAAAAATCGCCTCCCATCAATGTCATATCTTGCCTTTACTATGTCATTCATGCGGATGATTTGCGATGATGAACCATTCCAGAGCCTAAAGGTTGCATTCGATTGTTTCGAATACACTCCGTGCCAGCAATAGAGTGTGATAATTTGCACCAGCAGGGAAGTAAAACCGGAATGCTACTTCAGGTGTGCTTGTCCAACCCCTGTGTGTACAGGTGTCACGTGCGTGTAGTAATTACACACTTTCAAAATGAAACAGTTTTTACTGTGCAGTTTGCACCTCGCGACATCTTTAGACAAGGGTATTTGTAGCTAATAGCCCCGATTTCGTAGGATTGGGTGCCGTGAACATGTCTGTTGATTTGTAGCGCGCCAAAGTATTGCGATATTTTCTCGAAAGGTGTGTGTATATGAGGAGGGAGTAAACTTGTGTGATAACTCAGTAAGGCAGAAAGATATCGACCTCTCGAGCTTCAGTTTAGTCTATAGTGCGTGAAAACATCTGCTGATTCATGTAGACGTGCAAGGAGAGTGGTTTAGGTGGAATAAATACCAGAATTTAACTTTGTTTTGATTGTTAGCAAAAACGAACCTGCGGCAAGCTTTTCGCGAGTCGTTCGCCACTCAGCGAAGTTAAACGCAATGACGTGAATCTTCCAGGCTGAATTAGTTTTCATGCAGGCCTGTCAATGTGCTAGTTTGAATGTGAAATTCTACAGGCTGAAACATTTTCCTCCAACTTAACTGTGTGCTGCGTGCCTCAGTCGGAAGTAAGTTAGGTCCAGGCATGTAGCCAGAAATTTTTTCTCGGGGAGGGTGGGGACACCACCTTGATTTCGGGAGGGGCACCCATTCAAAATGGCTATTTCTCTATGCCATGGAAAAAAATTGGGGGGGGGGGGGAGGGCACGCGCCCGGTGTGCCACTCTCTTGCTACGCCCCTGAAGGTTTCCAGAAACATTTCTAGTAAGCCACTGATCGCGGCCGCACTTCATTGTTAGACCGAAAGTACACCGTACGGCTACTACGGCTAGCTAATCACTATACTGGGCACCTACGTATTGCGCTAATCTGCCAAGGCTGGAGAATGCCGTTTGGTAGAGATACGCGCATCCATAAGAACATCAGGCTCCAATTTCAGAAACACTTTTGCACATTCCGGCCAATCCTTCCAGTTCGTGACATCGACCGCGTGTCTTTACAATGCCTTACATTTTTGTGTCTACTGCTGCCTCACTGACGTTATCTTTCCTTCTTCTCTCTTTGCAGAACCAGGACAACAAGCTGTCTTTAGAAGAGTTCAAAGAAGGCTCAAAACACGACCCGAAGATCGTCCAAGCTTTGTCCCTGTACGCACCGTAGTAGCCGCCTACTCTCCACATCTTTCCGCCCCACTCGACCCTCATCTTACCTTCGACACACATCTTACCCACACGGGCGAGCTGCCCGAAGTCAGCGCAAGGCTCCGCAGCGGCTGCACTCGGAGCCGGATTTTTTTTTATTATCTTTTGGTTTGCTGAGGACAAGAACGATCCACCGGGACAGGGAAGATAGAGCCCACCTTCCGTTACCCTTTTCTCAAGCACACACGCATTGCGCGACTCACCGCAGCCATCGCCTCCACTTTCTTTCCTGTACACGCCAATCACTCGCAAGCCACTGTGATGCCCTCTCTGCCCTTCATGTCTCTGACGGAGCGAAGGGGAGGCTGCCATTGGAGGGTTTTCTATCAGCCGTTAACCTATCTATTTCACTTGATGTGTCTCGAGAATCGGCGAAATGTTAGTAGTATTGCATCGTACATGCGGCATGCCCTCTGTTTAAACTGCGCATCTGAAAAGGGAAATTTTTTTTTGTGAATTCAACCATAATTATCTCCCGGAGATCACACGTAGCCGCATTATTCTGGTGTTGAAATGCGGTGCTTGTGCGCCGATACCGCTGTGCCCAAATGTGTCACCTGTACACTGAGCGGAATTTCTGGGGCCTTGTAGAACGCAGGTGTAAAAAAAATGAGCGCGCTAGGAGTTTAATATATTATACTACAATATGAAAAGATGGCATTGAAGAGAGAGAAAAAACGCATTTTTCTCTTTAGACATTTGTTTTCCTTCGAACATCTCCTGATGCGCGTACATTTGCTTGTCCCTCAATATATTTTTTTTCGCTGTCTCCCTGCTCTCGTGGCTGGATCCATGTGAGGTAGGAATGCCTTCTAAATATCTCTTCATTTTTCGACACTGTGCAAGACATATGACCAGCTTTCCTTTCCTCGTGACCATCGCTCATTCGTTCCTTTTTAATCAAAGCAGTGGTGCGGACGGTGAGCTGGCGTAAGCTTTCTCGCGATCGAAAACTGAAAGAAGCACTTCTTATTTCTGTCGACTCTTGAAGCGTTCTTCGATTGGATTGCTTTTTTTTTCACACACTTTTCTTGGTGTTCAGTCTGACGCAACACCAGCGCATCGCAAAATTAAAGAAAAAAAAAAGGACTATCAACGTTTAGCACTACTTGCAACAATCAGAACAAAACGAAAATAAGAATGTGCAAGTGTATTACTGAGCGTTCACTCATTTACCAGCTATGTCTCGCTTACCAAGATGACGGATGACCTACACAAATGATAGAAAGAAGATTTGAAGTTAACGTCAAACTGCGCGTTGATCGTTAAGTAATAATACACTTTCGAGTTTGATTTAGTTCGTTCTATTTTCTTCTTGTTTAGCTAACTCATCGGCAAAAATTGCTTTGTCTTTTTGATACAATGAGCTTAGATGACCGCGCTTGTTTTTTATTGACATTATCTATGTAATAAAAGTTCGTGCATTTAAGTGGCACCGACCATTCCTCGTAACTTACTAAAAAACAATAAAAAAAAAAACGTTGTCAGAAAGTGCGTCACACTGTGTTTCGAAAGTTTTAAACGCATATAACGCGTCCAGAGTAGTGCTTGGATACCGGACATGACACTGGCATGAGGACCCTTTTCGTTCGTGAAATCTTATTGACACTGTCAAAAACATGTGCAATTGGTTAAGCGCTGTTTTAAACAGGCGTTTGTATACTGAGAAGGCGTTTGCACGTTTTTTTTTACGAAATTCCGTCGTCGTAAATTACAACAGTACGTTCGCCCTTTATAAATGGGACCACAGATCTCAACTCATTTCGAAAGCTTACACTCTGACGACATTGCTTTCTTCAGATACTTGTTTTCTAACGCTAATAAATATGCTGCGTTTTCTTTGTTCTTTTGTTATTTTTAGTGCCTTAATTTTTAATGTCCGAAGTTACCGCCCCGCAGACTATTTGATACGTCGGAAGGGCCCTTTAAGTTACGGTATCTGACACACACACACACACACACACACACACACACACACACACACACACACACACACACACACACACACACACACACACACACACACACACACACACACACACACACACACCACACACACACACACACACACACACACACACCCACACACACACACACACACACACACACACACACACACACACACACACACACACGCATATATATATATATATATATATATATATATATATATATATATATATATATATATATATATATATATATATATTGTTAGATAATGACTGGTGTTTCTTTATTAACTGTCAAAAAGAGGGCTTCCTAGTTCTCGCCAAGCCACTAGTAGTTACGAGAGCGGAGACGCGTCTTCTATCGGTATCATGTAGAAAACCTGCAGGATAAGTTCAAAAAAAAATGAAAATCAAAGAATGAAACCGCTGCTACGCCTCGATTTGAGGTTATTGGAGATCCTGAATATGAAGAACGCTCCTCGCTCGATATCACCTGTATTCCCGCAAAGGAGAAGGGAAAAAAGCAGGTTGTGAAATAGTATGACGTCCACTGGGAACATGCAACGGCCATCGCAAATTACGCGCTCTTGTCTCATAACCATATAGACGCGTTGTTAATTGACGAGTCTTTGTCTTACTCTGCTAATCGCAGCAGTTAGATAGACAAATCGAAGACAAGTAGGGTTGCTATGTATGTCGCCGCAATGGCACCTGCATCTTTTCAGGGTGTCGATCACGCGGAAAAACAGAGCCGTGAAGAATCGCCGAAAAAGAAGCCATCGGATAGTGGAGGCCCGAAATGCACGACTCGTAGTCTCTACCCGGGAAGATTCTGGGGCGGCCGTGGTTAACCGTGCTTCCGGCACGCAGACTCGAGTCCATGGTGTGGCACTTAGGCGGCGGTACTCGCATCCAGTATCCCCATGAGACCAGAGCTCCTTGCGAGTCGGTAGCTCTTGTTTGTCACCTCTTGTTTTTTTTGTTTGCTTTAGCCGCAGGGTCCATTCTTCTTCTGCACCGCTCTACCAGGAAAACCCCCTGGAGAATTTCGCTGCGCCTCGCGGATGGCAGAAAAAACAAACTGCGGAGCACGATATGTTCTTGCTCTTTGATTTTATTCTGTTTACCATGGCAGAGGTGCAGGCAAAAAGGAACAAAACGTTAAAAGTCATCATTAGACTGCACATCTTTCTATAACTGCCCATTAGGCAAGATTGCATTTTTTTTCTTTTCTACTCTCTTCTTTATTTTTTTCCCTTGATACTAGTGAGTTTATTCTAAAATGAAACAAAAAGTGTTAGGTTCATTAAGACGGGCTGACACGAAAGACTCTATCGTAGATTCACTGCGCACCAAGCACGACGTAGCTCAGCAGCATCCAATTGTGCGACGTGACCGCAGATGTTAAAGGTGCAATTCGGTTCCGGTAGGCGTCGCCACACTTGATCCGTGGAAGCAATCGATGATTTGGTGCGCTCGGTTAATTTTGCTTCGGGAGCTACATTTGCTAGCTGTCCCTGTTCGTAGACATTCTCTGCGCGGTGAGCGTTGTTGGCAACAAAAACGAGTCGGTTCCATAGCGTCCGTTCTACAGGCTAAGCAGAGGTAGTGAGCAGGCCTGCTTTCGTTTGACTGGAGAGATTAGCGATCGAAACACTTGAAAAAGTAAAGTGGCATAGACATTTCATTATCTTGCGTTCTCTCTCTTTTTTTAAGGCAGTCGTTTTGTTTCGGCAATGAGGTCGTCAACGGGAACTCTATTTTTAGAATTTTAATGCAACAACTATCGGAAATTTTCGTGGCTGCCTCAGGCACTGCGGGTTTCAGTTTTTGCGCAATAAACTACACATCCATGTCTCGAACATCTGAACGTATTATGTCGCGAGTATAGGAGTTTGACTGCGCGTCGCAAGCGGGGATACCCTTGAAAACACTTTACCCTGCGTAGTAGAAAGTTACACTTCCATTCTATGAGCGCTCTTGATTTGCTGCGATACAAACCTTGCAGTGGGTATAAAAGTTGACAAAACTTGTCGTACGTTAAAAAAATGGAGGTTCCAGGGTGAATGTGTAACCCCGGTGATTAGCCGCCATAGAAGGACAGGCATAGAAGTATACAGCAAAGGGAACGCGCGTTGGTCACGAAGCCTGCAGCAGCGCTTGAGCCTTTGCAACTTCGGGTGTATAGCAAACTGTGATAAGCGTGCGTAGGAACCACGCTTAGCTGCGTATAGCAATTTTACGAAGTGTCGTAGCTTGCATTCAGCGTAGCTATCTGGTTGTTGTTGCTTTTTTTTCGCCCCTCATTCTTCTTCTAAAAGAAAAAAAAAGCGAAGTAAGGTTTGTAAGCTAGGGTTCATTCAGTATGTACACAGGATGAAGCCGCTCCATGCTTTCTTCCAACGCCTCACATAGAACTATGGAGACGACCTCGCTCAACACGTGTGATCAATCTGCAAAGTCTTAATGTGCCATCCTGAGCGCTTTTTTCATATTTCGTTGTTTTTCTTGCCCATAAGCTGATTAATTGCTCGAATAGGACTATTTTCAAATAAATATAGTGTGGAGAGAAAGACAATAGGCATAAGAGGAAAGATGGTCTTGTAATTCCAGAATAGTCCATGAGCAAAGATCGTTACGCCACTGAACCACATCAATGAACCACGGAACCAACTTTCTTTTCATTAGGCCTCCTTTGTAACGTATTATGAAGGAACGTACTAGATATTACTCCAGGGTGGCATCCGCATGACTGACAAACAGGGTTTTTAAGCATTCCGCCTGCTGCACGTGACTGGCTTGCATTCGCTCACTGTTCATTGCTTATAAAGTTGTTATTGAAACGCATATTCATATTTATAATATATGTCAATATCTCACGTTATTCCACCGACCATGCGTCTAATTTATTCGCATTTTCGGGCGACAGATGACAGGCTGGCCATTGTGTTTTTTCACTGTTAGGATAGCGAATCGGAAAGATACTGTGTTCTTTGGCACATCATGTAATCCCGTACAGTTCAATCTTCACTTATACAATCGTCATGTTACGAGATATACTGCTACACAAGCAAGACACAGCTCATACCGACGTAAAAATTAAAAGATGTGATTTGCTTGTACCAAGAGAACGCTGTATGGGTTAGATTACTTCGTTTCGAAGTTTGCTATCGCCCTTCACAGGCCACATTAAAAACAATTCTAGCTGATCTACATTCAGTTTACTGCTTCTACTCAGAATCATGAAATAGATATGCCTGTTTGAATGTGTACAGTCATATATTTATTTACATTGCCGGAAAGAAAGCAATTTTTCTGCAGGGTTTGTGCAATGTGTTCCGCACATTCATGTGAAAAGAGCATTGTGTATCTATCACGACATGAGAAAAAAAAATGAGCATGATCTCAAGGTTGTGGACCAATCTCCAACGCCATCCTTTAGTTTTGTTACACGCGATGCACAAGGGGAACACCAGTGGTTGAACCTGATGAGATTGAGGAAACCGTTGCAGCTTCGGGCTGTGGAAAGGCAAAAAAAAAAGATAATGACCGGTGATACTTGTATTTCTGACAATGCCGGACCGTTTAAACATTCTTGATCAACGTTATGTTCAGCGCACGGATCAATATCATTTTTTTCGCGGTGCTTCACACGGCTTCGCGTTAAGATACCGCCGTTACGCACCTGTTCACTACCCTCCCCTTGTTCCCAACCTTACTCCAATTCTAACTCCTCCTCTATCTTCTCTTTCTCGCCAAGGCGCGAAAGCAGTATGCGCGCACTTTACATAATCAAAAGGCGTACACGAACAGCCCGGTCCTTCACAGTTTACGTCCCAATAACTTCATGCCTAAGCTGCGTTATAAAAAAAATTCAGAAATGCTGCATCACCATCTACCCTAGCCACACACAGACACCGCACTCATGTCGTCCGGAAGCCCTTCTTTCGGAGTTCGCTTCGCTCCTGACACCGCAAGGAGAAATTGTCCGAAAGGTCACTGCACCCAAGTCGTCATCGTCACTCCTCGACACAATATACTACGTGAAGTGTGGTTGCCAAACCGTGCCGAAATCTTTCGAGAGAAAAAAAAGAAGGAAGGAAAAAACAACGGTAAAGCTCTTTATCTCAACAGTGAGTGACTTGCTTGAATTGTCGCATGCTGCAAATACTTGGACGTACGAACAGTGATGCCTGTAGGGAAGAAAACTTTTATGCGTTTGTTTCTTTGGGAATATCGGCGCGGCGTGAAAACAGAACGCGATGATTCCCCAGTCAACCATAGCTCAAGAGAAGAAAGAGCTCAGCTTCACGATTTCCTTTTTGTCTCTTTCCCAGTTGCTGTTTCACACCAACTTCCAAGAAAAAAAAAACGAAAAACAAAATGAAGTTCGTTTCGTTCCCTCCAAGCCGAATGCTTTGTACGCAACCAAGAGTCTTCGGCTTTAGCCGTTGCAGGAAAAGCTGAGCTGCGCACGACAGTGTTC